CATCAGCAACGTAGTTAGATGATTCTCTTGCTTATATATAAGTCCAAAATCGTGTTGCCGTTATGACTTCTGAACTTTTTGTTGGTAACGCAAAAAGTACCAATACCTATCAATAATTTTGTCAGTTCCAGTAACTAAACCTTCTTCCGAATGCCCAATACCTCAACGTCTTTGTAGTGGAAATCAGAGTCAGGATCCGAAGAATTCGGCTTGACATTACGTTACCTTATCCTATCACGAGTAAAATTAATGAGACTGAATACCACAAGAGCATAGGGGGTTCGAACCATACTTGCCAAAGATTGACAGAATTTCAGCAAAAATATACTCAAAAGTAACACCACGGAAACCTCGATGGATTTGCCAACTACAAAAAACGATAGACGACAGCAAAAGTAACACCACGGAAACCTCGATGGATTTGCCAACTACAAAAAACGATAGACGACAGCAGCGATCCATAAATCCAGAATGGGATAAATCTAATAGAAAGTAGAAAATTGAATAATGAACAGAAATAACAAAACTATTACTTTACACTTGACAATTATTACAAATACTTTGGAAACTCACAGTGCGGATCACGCCGTCGCGCTGGCGTCACAGTTGGTCTCTTCAGTGGACGTCGCTTCGGAGTGGGTCTGGGCAGGGTGTTCCTCGGCGAAACGCTTCGCACACATGTACTAGGCATCTCGTCGAGGCCCCGTAAAAACCCGATCTGAAAAAAGGAATTCACCGTGTTAGCAGGGGAATGGCCAATGTTCAAGGCATAAAGTAAAGACACAAATTCATAGCAGAGACATTTATATTCCTGACTCAATGAAGAAGAATGGTGCCTATCATCTAAATGTCTACATTGGAATGCGAAATGAAGAAATATTCAATAACCATAGAAACGTCGTGAAAAACGAAAATTATCGCTCCCACATATAAAACACCGCCGTTTATGGCGAAGCCAATGAAAACGGTATTAAAAATCAAACTATGTCCTCGTTGAATATGGAGTTTTCCATGAGAAAAAGGTATGGACGAACTGTCCATAGTATTAAAGCGCATTATGACAGAACTGACATTTTGACACACAGCAACTTATAAAACACCCAATGACTGGCAAGTTCGTTCCCAAAAGGTTCAGAAAAATCATTGAAGCTTTCAAAGGTCTTATCGAGTATATGGTGATACGAGAAAATACTGCATAAAAGAAGAATTGGCATCAAATCACCTCATACACGACAAATATTTCGATAATAAATATGTCCTGAGAATATTTCTGTTCCGCTCGAATCAATCGAAAAGAAACATTGAAAGCTAAACAACAGCAAAATTTACAGTAAAAGTAAAGCTCGACTGTGCCAATCTTCTAACGCTTATCAACTACTCGATGATAACAACACTAGAAGTTGTAAAAGTAAAGCTCGACTGTGCCAATCTTCTAACGCTTATCAACTACTCGATGATAACAACACTAGAAGTTTTTTGAAATCAAAGAAAAATTCCTTTTTCTCAAAATTTCTGAGCGCTTTTGACGTTTTCTGAAAAACTAGCCAATTGTCAATAGGCAGAGAACGAGCCGCCACCGGTTTTGTCCACCATAATCTCTTCACGATGTTGGCCAGTTCGAAAAAAAGTTTGCTGTAGTTTCATAATTCTTCGAAATATCTAGTTACTCGAAAAAAGAGCACCACCATTGTCCAACAATTCGATATAAATTTATGTCTACTATCTATGATACGCTCTTATTCATTTTCAACGTAAATGGATTGATGAACTCCCACCGAAAACCACTAATGAACGCGCCTGGGACTCATTGAATCATTGAAGACACTAATCTTCGAATAGACCAAATAGAATAAACTTACTAACTTTTTCTCCGAAAATGGGGTGAAACGGGGAAAGGGCTTGCTGCTGTTCAAATAGAACACGTGTGAAATATCGG